CACACATACACACACGCACAAAGAGTTAGTATCTGGGGGCATTCTCACTGCTAGAGCTCTGGCCAGTCCAAATCTGGGTCTCATCTGTTTGGGGCTATTGGCAGAAGGTAGGGAGCTGGAATGGGTTGGGGGGTATATCTCCACCCATAGAGAATTAACAGGAAGACAATAGCAGCTGAGGCCACAACATATGCCAAGCCTGCCTCTTCAGTGCCGGAGAGATGGGCTGACTTAACCTATTCCTGCCCTGTCATTGCCTCAGAGATAGGCCTGCTGTGGGACATGTATGTCAGGAGATTGGTGAATAGCAATGATAAGGATGTGTAAGGTTTTGAAAAGTACTTGCCAAATATATGAGCTCATGGAAAGAAGGTACCAGTCTGTGTGTACAATATAAGCAAGCCAGCCCCCTTTGACCAGCATGAAGAAACGATTGATTAAACCTCATCTTTAATATGAAAATTTCTGAGCTGCAGCAAGGCTGGAGTATTGTTTCTGGGTGTGTGTGGGCTGAAGGGTGGAAGGGCTGGAGAGAGGGGGAGACATGAGAGGGTGTGGATCTTGCCAGGTGTGGGGGCTCTGAGCCTAGATTATCAGCCATGTTGCTGCTGGAATCAAGTCCTGCACCGGCAGGGCCAGTAAAGGCTCAGCAGCCTCTGGGGACAGCAGGCCCTTCCAGACATGGGACCACACCTTGAGCTGCAGACCTGGCAAAGACTAGTGTTTGAGAATTGCCCTAGGAACTTAAGGCATTAGGGCTTCTACACAAGAGCTCAGTTCCTACAATGGTCCTGCATGTCTGAAAAGTGGGCTGGCCCAAAGAACCCCTTTCCCATCCCTTCCCAGCCTTGTGTGCCTGGGACCTCAACCAGAAGGCCAGCAGTGAGAGGCCATCTTGCTACATGTCCAGCCCAGCTCTCAGCCAGGGCTGGCTCGCCTCCCCCAGCGACACCACCACACCAGGCCAGGAGAGACAGGACATAGGTTTTACAGGAAAAGGAGCAAGGGTTGTAGGATCAAGACTGGGGAGGATTGGATCACAGGATGTTAGGGGAGAGCTTTTTTTTTTTTTCAATCCTGGGACAGAGGAGCACAGAAACATCAATATAGTCATCCCATAGACACCCACCACCATCACCTTCATCCTCTACCTTTTCTCCTCAGGCCTACAGACACTTCCCCCCATCCCGGACCCATCCCTTCCCTCTTTATTCCCAAACCACCTTTCCTGGAAACAGCTTCTGCTGCCTGTGTGAAGCTAGATAGTAAAGGAAAGCTGGAAGGAGACCAGGTGTAGGAAGGAGCTCCGCGGGAGGGACTGTCTCCTGCGGCTGCAGAAACCCCATTCAGTCCCAGATACTCCGTCAGCAACCCCATCAGCTTTCAGGGGTCCTTGTCCGCGCCCCCCCCCAACCCCCTCAGGCTGCTGTCGTGGTTGTAACAGGTTCATGGCTGTCGCCCCAGATCCTGCCAACCCAGACAGCCCGGCGCTGAGGCGGAGGGAGGGAGCCCAGGAGAGCGCGGCTGGCTGGGTTCCCACGTCCCCTTCCAGCCCCCTTCCTCCCCGCAGTCGGGAGCTTTGCACCCGTCCCCCACTGGGCAGCACCCCCCACCCCCCGCTGCACCCCTCTACCTCTGCGAGCGCGGCGCGGGGTCTCAGTGACCGAGGCAGATAGCAGGCGCAGGCAGCCCCACGGCCATGACTCTCTCTTGCTGGCGCCGAAGCCGCCCGCGCGGCTGCCACTGCGAGACGACTTGACGGATTAGCATCTATTTTTAAGCCGTGACACGCACGACGAAACAGGGTTCACAGGCGTGTGTGTGTGTGTGTGTGGGGGGGGGGTGACACGCCGGGACACAGTCTCACGCCCAGCGAGCCGAGTGGACACGCAACGTGGGCGCGCCCGCACCCCGCTACAAGCCCGCGGTGTTTACAGACCAGACCCAGACCACGCAGCCGGCCGGCTCCGCCTCACAGACGCGCTGTGTATCTGTGTTTGTCGGAGCTGCGCCAATTACAAAGCGTTTTGCCTAAAGATGACATTATGCAAGTCGTCCCAGACAGTGTCTTAAACACACACCCTCCTCCTCCCCAGACAGCATTAGTGAATTACAGAGACTTGATGGTGCAGGCTCCCATTCCTCATTAGTATATGCTCGTTTTATCCTCACCACAAGTCTAGGAGCTAAGTTTTAGTCACTGTCCATTTCAGGAAGGAAAGAACTGAGGCACAGAGAGGCTAAGTAATTTCCCAAATCACTTTCTAGTCTCAGGCAGAGCTGAGCTCAAATACAGGCTCTCTTTGGGGTGCAAGAGTTGGGTCCCTAACCAGCCTCAATCGGTGACCCATCCGCCATGAAGACACAATGATTTCTGTCAGAAAGAGCTTTCTGCTAGCCCAGCTCATAGTGAACTCCATTTTCCTGGACTCCCAGAAGAAATGCATGTTCTTGCCTGTGCTATCTTTAAGTGAAGTTTACCTTCACTTGCTTTTCTTTTTAAAATGTTTTTGGCTATTTTAAAAAAAATTGAACTAACGTGCATTATAATATAGCATATGGTTCTAGTATGCATGATTATAAACCAGCATCTGTACATACTACTTTAAGTTCACCACTAAAAATCTAAGTCCATCCTTCACTACACAATCCTCCCCTTTTACCAATTTGCCCAACTCCCTTCCTCACTGTCTGGTAACCACTAATTTGGCCTTAATGGTTTGGAAGTTTGTTTCAGTTTTATCTAGTTTATTCTTTTGTTTTATTTCTCTATGTACCAACGAGTGAAATTATACAGTGTTTTTCTTTCTTCCCCTGACTGGATTCACTAAGCAGTCATAACCTCTAGGTCCATTCCTTTGCTTCTGCTATAAACGCCTTGTATAGGTCAAGACTAAATTGTTGGACGGCAGGGACTATGCTGTGGTCCTCAGTGCTTGGCTCACTGTTTGATGAAGAGGAAGGAGGCTGAAAGGAAGTGGTGGTGATAACAACAAAAGTTATCAGATGATGCTGGAGAACTAGGCAGACTTGGACTCCAGGGGGACAAGCTCCCAGAAGGAAGGCAGGAAGTAGATAAGTTCAGGCTGGGCCTGGTGGAACCTCAGAACTGACTACATTCTCTGTAGGGGTAGAGGGTCAGGCTTTGATCTCTGGGTCAGGGAAAATACTGACCAAAATGACACCATTTCTACATCAGTTTGTGATAAAGAGAAAGTTCTATCATAAACTGCTATGGAGATTATTTTTCCTTCCAGCCTTTCCTTCTCTAGAGAAACAAACTGAGTCCTTCCCATTTTTCATACCTTTTGGTATGATAGTTTACATAAAGAAATGAATAAGCATTTCAGACAAAGAACTGACCTGTGAAATTTGAAATATTAATTTTTAGATCCAGGAACACTGATCTAACAATACCCAAAAGCCAGATGGTGAAAAAGCGTGTATTGCCACCATAATCCTGATTTTAAGTGAAGAGTCATAGGTTAAGGAGTTATTGTAGATAGACTTGACCTCAACCTTTAGTAAGACTTCTGTTTCTGCCCTACATTCCACTTTTTTGGGAAAATATCGCGCCCCCCCCTTTTTAAAAAGATTTTATTTATTTACGCATACAGTACTGGGGTATAGGCAAGAGGTGCAGGAGCAGTGAGAGAAATCATCAGAACAGAACAGGCAACTAGATGAAGTACACTTCATCTAGGAGAGCAGCGGGCAAGACAAGGAAAGTTCTGCTGTTCTATGTGGATCACCTCCAGGCAGGGGATCGAACTTGCACTGAAGCGGCTGTGCATAGCTTGCAGTGCTGCACTTTAACCCACCGAGCCACTAGGGAGGGCCGAAAATATCCTTTAAAGCATATTGAGTACAATATGGGCAAGTATTTATGGGTAATCACAGAAATTGTCCATGGATCGACATATTCATGACTGTTTTAAATTAATGCCTATACCTCAAACCACCAATCGAAAACTATTATTAATAGATAAAATGCACCAAGTCTTACTGTGTTCCAGGCATTTACCAGAAATTGCATGACTTTCTCACAGAGAACAGAGGAAGGCATCTCTGACCCCGTCTGTCTGTGCCTTGGGTTGCTCCTGGTGGGGAGGTCTACCAGTGTGCGTGGGTCAGAGGTTGGGAGCTTCAGCCTGTCAGTCTCCAGGAACATCACCTGCTGCTCTGTGACCCTTCCCCAGAAGTAGAGTAGTGTGGAAAGAGAAGAATCTTCTTCCTCCCAACCACGTTGAGCTGTAAGTACCTCCATGTCCATTTTTCTTGGGCTGAGCTGGAAGTTTAAGTACTGCTTTCACTAGTGGTTCCAGTAGCATAGGTCACTCAGTTGTGACTTTGTTTAAAGATGGGAGTATGGTGAGGGGAGGATGGGCAGAGAGAGACTTAGGTCCCCTGAGGTGCCCCGTGTTGGTGCTGATTTAGACTTCCTAGTTTCCATCTTCCCAGACTGTCCGGTTTTGGTTTCTCCACAGCCCCTATTTAGCACTTTCTCTCCCCTAGGTATGGACTGGAGATTCCTATCCTTGTCCTCATAGGCATCAGCTAGGTGCATGTTCATAGCAATTTACCTGGCAGGGCTGTACAGGTCCTGAGTCCTATGCGGAGGCCGTGGGTCCTCTGCACAGAGTAGAAATCTGTTTTTACTTCAACTCCAATCTCTTCCCTCTAATCTCTCTACCTTTCCACCAGAGCATTCCACTTCCCCCCTGATTTACCTAGAGGTAAAGGCTTCTTTTCACTGTGACTTTAATTTCCCTCTAAGAACCAGACATTATTGCAAGAAACAGATATTAGCCTGATTTTGAAATGACAAAACACTCTGGAGAAACTGGTGTTCCTAGAGAGGAAACATACCAGGAGGATTATTTGCAAATAAACAAGATATAAAGAGAATGTACAGTAAATCTCATTATTTCAAACAACAAAAATGGGAAAAACATGCATAAATACACATTTTGAAAAAGAATAAATGTAGTATGCCAACTATTATGAATTAAGCTCTAGCCAACGTGGAGTTACATTTAATTTTTATATTCATGCTTAAAGTTATCTACATTGCCCAAGTTGTCTTCAGTCAATATGAATTCACTTAAATGTCAGTTTTTTTTTAAAAGATTTATTTATTTTTATTCATACAGAACTGGGCCAGAGATGGGGAGGGCGAGAGGATTCACCAGACAGAGTGGGGAGCAGAACAGGCAGATCTACAAGTACACTGCTGAGGGGAGCAGCAGACGGGTCAGGAGAGGTCTGCCGCGCCATGTGGTCCCCTCCCGGGCAGGCGGGAATCAAACTCATGCGGAAGTGGCTTAAGCTTCTTAGTGCTGTGCTTTAACCCGCTGCGCCACCAGGGAGGGCCTAAATGTCAGTTTTTAAAAAACTGGTTGAAACCTTAGTGGGCTTTACATGTGGTCAATTGTAGTAACTGTCCAAGCTTGCTTGAAGAGAACTCCATCTGTTTTGGGATGCAAATTGCTACATTTAATGACCCTTCCATAAAAGGATTTTCAATATGCAGAAGTCTTAATTTTTGCTTGTCTTACCAGCATTTGAGAGAGGTATTAAAACCACCTGTATGTCAGTGGGTTTGTTAATTTCTTCCAGTTTTGTCTATTTTTGACTGGGATAGTCCCAAGCCATGTTATTAGATACATAAAGTTAACAGGTCTTTAAACAAATATTATTATTTTAGTCAATAGGTGATATCTCCAAGACTCTTAATATTTTTGTTTCAAATTGTACTACTGTGTACTGTATTCAATGTGAAAACATTAATACTGTATCATTTGCTTTTTGTTGTTAATATTTATCTTGTATTAAAAAACTGCTCTATTTTTGGTTAAAAAATACAAATCTATATACTTTAGTTATATTTATAAGTGTAATATAAATTATATATGATGTAAATATAGCATATATTTCATATTCATATTTAATCCTTCAATTTTAAATGTAGCTTTTATATACTTTATAGCTAGATTAAAATATCAATTTGTGAGAGAGACAAACAAATGTAATAGAGTAACCATGAAAACAATGAACAACTATAAACCAGAGACATTTTATGGGGGTGGGAGGGGGAATGGGATTGGACCTGGGGTGGGCAGAGTACAATGCACTGTGGTAATGGCACACAGGTGAACTGGTGGTGGGAGGCCCATGGGGATTACAACTGAGGTGAAGAAATGCACAAAATGAAGAATAATGAAAATATATATATAAATATCTGTATTTTAAAGAATGAGTCACTATATTTTTATATTCCTGGTATAGTTAAAATAATTTCTGCCATTTTATGCTGTGTTTTCTTTTTATCATACTTACTTTTTTTCTCCTTTCCTTTCTGTATTTGGGTTTACCTAGTATTCTCTTTATTGTGCTCTGTTGGTTTGCAAGTTAAAGTAGAAATTTAATTGGTGTCTTTATACTCTTCTTGAGCAAGATATATTAATTTCCCTCAAAAGTACTTTCTCTCGGCCCTCCCTGGTGGCGCAGCGGGTTAAAGCACAGCACTAAGAAGCTGAAGCCACTTCCTCATGAATTCAATTCCCGCCTGCCCTGGAGGTGACCACATGGCGCGGCAGACCTCTCCTGACCAGCCGCTGCTCCCCTCAGCAGTGTACTTGTAGATCTGCTTGTTCTGCTCCCCACTCTGTCCCTGGTGAATCCTCTCATCCTCCGCATCTCTGGCCTGTACCCCAGTTCTGTAGGCACAAACACACACACACACACACAAACAGAAAAAAAAAAACAAACCAAAAACCTTTTCTCTCATATTGGTTAATATTATCAGCCCATACTTTAACTAAGCTTGAAAAATAATAGTCACATAACACCCATAATCTATGTCTCTCTTACCTCCTTCTCATCCAGCTACCAGCTCCTCATGCTCCACTCCCTGGTGGTCAAAGAAAACATATTGAATAATTAACAATTTAA